ATATGCATAGCCATTGCCTGTTTGAACATTGAAGCCTAAAATCACGGGTTTTTGGTTTTTCCCCTTCTTGATGGGTTGTTTGTATTACCACTTTGAGTCTTCCATGTTAACACCCCTTTTTGCATGCAAATTCTTGATAGATTTTTGGGTTTCATCTAGCCTCATTTACTCCATACTTCATAGTAAGCATGCACTATACCTTGTACCGTTGTACGTATTCTACTGATGAGAAATGGGTCGTGGGGATTCAAGCTGAGTTCGAATTTTTCGAACAAAGATTCTTAAATTGGTCATTAAGTGTATGATTTGTTTCATGTTGAACTTTTTTTTTTCTTCCTTTTTGTATTACGGAATGGGAATAAGGGGTGCCATTTGTAGTAAAACACTTGAGATTATGAGCATGTAAATTAAGAAAATAACAATGTGAATGCTCATGGTATTTTAAAATATATATGATTATGTTCAGAATGTTACCATTCAAAGATTGACGACATTACAAGTTTCGTGCGTGCTTCAGCGTAAGGTTCAGGGGGTTAGCTTACTCAGTATTAAAAAAATGTAACTAAAAAATGAAAACAAAGAAACTTCAACTATAACCTTGAGTTTAATTGATGTCTTCACAATATGGGCATCAATTATAAAATCCCAAAACCAAAGAGGAGTGGAGTTATACGAGAGGTTTAAACTACTGACCACAAAACACTATAATCTCTTGAGTTATTAGCTAAATGAGTTACAATTATATAAGTCTTATCACAAAATACTATAATCTCTTGATTTATTAGCTAAATGAGTTACAATTATATAAGTCTTCTCACAAATTCTCATGTGTGACACCACAAAACACTATAATCTCTTGAGCTATTAGCTAAATGAGTTACAATTATATGTCTTATCACAAATTCTCATGTGTGACACCACAAAACACTATAATCTCTTGAGTTATTAGCTAAATGAATTGCAATTATATGTCTTACCACAAATTCTCATGTGTGATGGTGTCGTTCGGCGGAATGATAAGTCATACTTTTCTAACAAACATGTAAACGTATGCTATCAATGTCATTATATTTTATTAAGTATTTTTTTAGAATATGATATTTAACTTTTAAATGATGCATATTTGTTGAAAAAGTATAGTTGACTAACTGTTAGGTCTGTTTAATAATAGCTTACTAAAGTCTTATAGATTGGTTTATGTAAATTCGATGGGGCTTGGTATGTCTTGGATCGATCCATTTAATAAATTTCAACATTTAAATACCAAATGCGGAATCCTAAGCCCTAACTATGACGTTTATGAATGCACTTAGCTTGACTCGTTTAATGAACAAGCTTGATTAATTTTTTAGCTTGGCTCGTTTAAGTTAATGAACAAACTGAGCTCGAGTTTTCTCGAGTTGAACCAAGTTGTGTTTACATACAACTCGATTCTAATAATTGGGCTAATCCAACAAATACACCTTCGTAAGCCCATCCTACTACATATGACCTACTAATCTCAATTACGTTTGTCCACTTCACACTCGTTTTTATTTAAAAATTTAGGAAGATTTTTTTAACTGTAAATATATTAATATTTATTATTTATAAAAAAATATTTGTAATTTATTTTTTTCCAATGGTTTCTAAAGGCTTCAGACCGAGTAGGACGAAGAGCGAGTACATGAAGTGTGCTTTCAGCATGGCTACACATGATGATGGTGATGTTAGCCTTGACGGGCAAGTGGTGGCCAAGAAGGAGACTTTCCGGTATTTAGGATCGATGCTACAAAAGGATGACAGCATTGATGTAAATGTCAGGCATAGAATTGCAGCTGGTTGGTTGAAATGGCGTCAAGCCTCGGGCGTTCTCTGTGATAAGAGGGTGTGACAAAAACTAAAAGGTAAGTTCTATAGGACGGCGATTCGCCCGACGATGCTATACGGTGCTGAATGTTGGCCTATAAAAAGGCAACATGTCCAACAACTAAGTGTAGCAGAGATGCGTATGTTGCGTTGGTTTTGCAGGCACACAAGAAGGGATAGAATCCGGAATGAGGATATTCGAGATAGGGTCGACGTGGCTCCAATTGAAGAGAAATTGGTTCAACATCGGCTGAGGTGGTTTGAACATGTCCAACGGAGGCCTCTTGATGCACCGGTGCATATGGGAGTTCTTCAACGGGTTGATGATGTAAAGAGAGGTAGAGGTCGGCCTAAACTCACTTGAGAAGAGTCGGTTATGAAAGACCTTAAAGATTGGAATATCTCAAAGGATTTAGCGGTGGATAGGAGCGCTTGGAGGCTAGCAATCAACGTGCCAGAACCGTGACTTTTGTTCATTCCTCTTTTGCTCCAATCTCTTCCTTTTGTTTTGTTTTGTTTTTTTGAGCCCCTTTTTGTGTTTCTCTTACATTGATTCTTCTGGGTTTCATCTCTATCATACCCTCAACTTGTTTGGGACTAAAAGGCTATATTGTTGTTGTTGTTGGTTTCTAATTTGCATTATCTTTTTTTCTTTATGACTTGTTTACAAACAGTTTGCTTATAATTTTATTTTAGATGATTGTATATTTATAAATATTTTTAAGAGGTATAGTAATAGTAATAGTAAACTAGTAAAAGGGCATAAGAAATCTTAAAAGTGCGAAGGAATATTACACATAAACTTTCATATCATAGATCTTCCATTACCTTTTTATTTTTTTATTTTTTGGTAAAAAACAACAATTGTAATGTCATGTTTATGGGTGTAAGACCTTTTTTAGCGTGTTTTTTACATATCTGTTAAGTGAAATAGATCGCTTGTGAGCCCAACTAAATTTAGCTTGGTTCATTTATTAAAAGTGTCGAGCTCGAGATTGTTTAAGGTTGTGTTAGTTAATGAGCCGAGCTAGTCCGAGCTCGCTAAGATTTGTTAGCTTGAAATTAGGGTTTTATACGTAGTTTTTTTTTTCTTTTTTTTTAGCATAATTTGATTCGATAAGTTCGGTCCATTAAATTAACGCCTCGAAGTGGAGTATTAGGGAGCTTGTACGAGTTCCACATCTTAATTTCCTTTGTGGAATCTTTAAAGTCCCAAAATAACACCTATGAATAATTTTGAACTAAAATTATTAGCCCTATTATTATGCGGGCCAACAAAATGAGAATTTTTGGAATTATGTTAGATCTAATTTTGTTTATGTGGCATTTAAATAAACCAAAATATTGGATGATATGGATAAAACTATATAAAATTAACAAAATTCACTTAAATGTAAAAAGATCATGTATTTATTTGGGTCTAAAATAGATTATGGAGAGGCTGAGTCTTTTTTTCTTGCTACCACATCAGCGAGAGACCCAGTTTACTTGCACTTGTAGAGAATATATATTTTTTTAGATTCAGTCTATTTCTTAAGTGACATATAATTTTTTTTTAATGAAGCCAATGTATTGTAGATGCTCGAATAACTAATTTTATCTACAAAAAGACAAAAAAAGAAATGTTGGACTTTCCCATGCACGCAGCACCCTCGGTTTATTCCAAATTTAACTGACTGATCCTAGATTAATTTTTTTTTATCCTACTTAATTTGCACATTTTCAATATGTAGGTTAATTAATTATGATTTATGATAAAAACTAAACAAAGTAACACAATGTTAGATTTTTTAAACACTATATGTTGTCAAGCTCTCCAAAAGTACCTTTGTCGGTCAAAGTTGTATGCAATGAAAATCAGAATACAAAAAGATGCTACCTTTATCAATACGGAAAACGGGTCGTATACCCATATGACTCACCGACTATGAACTAATAGCGCGCTTATTAAAAACTCGAAGCCCGCGTGCACTGTGCAAAGCAAAATCAACGCCTTTGCACCTCGCCGTCTGTTGGTGGTTCCGTCGAAACTCCACCGTGGTAAACTTCCTTTTACTTGCTTTTGTGGACGCTATTTGAGTTTTTTTATTCGTAAAAATCTATGCACACACCTATGCTTATGTTATTTTCGAATTTGGATTAATTCGCGTGCGTATGAAGAATTTCTTAATGGATGCTTTTGAGTTGATCTCGATTAGTTGTTATTTTTGTGCCGGAAATTTTTGCTGATGTTGAGATTTTTGCATTATTTGTTTATCTGTAATTGGTTTTTGAAACTGACAAAAGGAGATGAAGGTCGGATTTAAAATTTGTTTTGTTAAATTCTTTTTATGGGGATTTTTTTGGTGTATTGTGCAGTAAATCTGCCATTGCTTAAAGATTTGGTTGAATCAGGAGATTATAGTTATGGAGTTATTTGGTTGTATTAAACAGAAGGAAACTACTTTGTCTTTTATGTTTCTCCTTTTGAGATAATTTCTGTAGATTATTGAAGTTAATGTAACATTTGGATTGTGGGAGTTATTCTAGTGTGAAGTGAACTTCTTTTAATCGTTGCATAATTGTCTGAAATCAAAATAATCATTTTCCACATGTGATGTTCAATTATATGCTTTGGTGTCATGGAAGATTGTGTCCTTCCTGTGATTTTTGGTGTCATGGAAGATTGTGTCCTTTCTGTGATTCTGAAAATATTTCAGGATATCTTTTCATGAATGTGGAGGAGTCTCATGTAGTTGAAGTGATGAGTTAATGTTGGTTTTATTGACTTCTTATTTTATGTGATGGTTGGTTTTGTTTTGTATTTTGGTGCTATATCAAATGTTAAGAAGTGGAGAGCTCCTGTGTTCTTTTTACTTTTCTTTGTTTTGGCCCTTTACTTTCATTTATGTTTTACTCCCTCTGTATCTTATTCCTTTATCACTTTCTGTGATGGCTGGTTTTATTTTGAATTTTGGTGCTACATCAAATGTTAAGGATTGCAGAGCTTCTATGTTTTGTCTTTGGTTTTTAGTTCCTTCATTTTGGTGCTTTTCTTTCATTTATGTTTTACTCCCTTTGCATCTTATTCCTGTCTCACCTGTTNTTCTAATGTCTTTTTTCTTTTCCCCCTTTCTTCTGTTTGGGAGTATTTTCCTATTGTTTGTATATTCATGTTTGGAGCTGAGAATAATCCAAGGTTGATATCGTGCAGATACACAGTTATGGGGATAGATTTACTGCAAAATCCTGCTGTAGATTGTCCAATGAGCAAGTCAAAAAGGAAAAGGAAAAGGAGACAGAGAAAGAAAATGATGGAGAGAAATGCACCAGTAACAGCGAACAATATTGATGAAAGTTCGAAAGTACGGGATGAAAAAAGAGAATGTACATCAGGCAACTGTGATTCTGGTAAGAATCCTGCAGATACAGATTCTCCTATGCAAACCCCGGCAGAATGCCCTACAATGGCTGCAGGGTCAACAGAAAACCTTTCTGAGGTTGGTGCAAATCTAGAAAAGAGAACCAAACGTCTCAAGAAAAAGAAGGCAAAGCGAAAGCATGAGGCTCGAGCCCGAAGTATCAGCCAGTTCAAGATGGATACAGATATAGAGCCAACAAAAAAGATTGCTGAAGGGAAGATGAATGAGAAACAAAAAAATAGACCTAAAAATGCCAAGAAGGAAGAAAGTCAAGATGAGGCTAACCAAGCAGATGAAATGTCGAATTTGCACTTATCTGAAGGAGGCCATGGAAGAGTTATTGATGGGAAGCCAATTAAAAATAAATTCACGGCTCAAAATTCCAAAGGTTCTTTAGAAAACGAATCTTCATTATCAAATAAAGTACATACCAAGCTTTTAATTTATTTACTAATGTAGAGGCTGTCCTATTGCCAGATGTGGTCGAGGTTTCATGCGTTGGAGTTTCTTCTGGGTCACTTGAAGAGACTCCTGTAGATATTTTGAGTCCCATGGAGGTAGAAGAGAAATCCTTTCCTTGTGGAGCTCAACATAGTTCCAACTCTAATCGCATGAATGTTGAGACACTGAAGTTTGAGAATAAGATAAATGAAGAAAGTAATGAAATTGTTGTTACTGAGGAAAAATGTCTAGCTGGAGGTGGGAGTGTGTTATCGACTTGCGATGTTGAGTCCACAACACATGTTTCTTTCCCTGATGTGATGGATTTTAGACAATGTCCACAAATAGCACAGGTTTATTCTGGTAAGAGAAAGCTTCTTGTCCTTGATGTCAATGGACTTCTTGCGGAGATATTGTTTCCAGCCCCGAAAAACTGTCGGGGAGACACACATATTTTAGGGCGAGCAGGTGAGATTTGATGATGAGTTTAAACGATCTTTGATATTTTATTTTTATTTTTATTTTTTTGTATCTAAGATATTCAAAAAGTCAAACTAGCGGATTTATTTTGACCTCATTCTTCTTTTTGGTATATGTAGTCTTCAAGAGACCCTTCTGTGATGATTTTCTGAAGTTTTGTTTTCAGAACTTTGATGTTGGCATATGGTCGTCAAGGTCCAAGTATGTTTCAAGATGGTTTCTTCTCTCTCTCTAAAAAATGTGCTGCTTTCGTACTAATTTCGATCTTTTATTTTCCATAGAATCTACTTATCTACTTATATTAAAGAAAGTGTATCCTAATATTGATTGTCATGCTGACTTCGGACAATGTATTTGAAATGCAGGAAACTTATTGATAGAGTTGTTGAATATTTATTAGGTGATCTACAAGAAGGGCTGTTGTTTTGTTGGGTAAGCGGCCCTCTCAAAACTTTTCATAAGTAATAGTAAATAAACATTTTTTTCATAGCTAACGACGAAGAACTTATCTTTCAAACCATCTAGATTTTCGTACACAATTTCTGTAAGGACTTAACTTACTACATTTCATATAGATTTTAGTACACAATTTCTGTAAGGACTTAACTTACTACATTTCATATCATAACAGATATAGTCATGATATGTTGCAAACTATATTGTTGCTTTATGTTGATATGTAATTTCCATGGTAAGTGATTTTGTTTCTTACTTCTGTATGTATGCAGAGAGTTGATGCTGTCATGTAAATCTTGATTTTAATTCTCAAAATTAATTTAGTAGTTTGTGATACAAAAGAATATGGTTTAATGCAGGATATGTTTCATAGCACTCAAACAGGGTTCAAAACTCTTGAAAACCGTCATAAACCTTTGGTTTGCAAGGAGCTCAGGAAAATCTGGGAAAGTGATGGTCCTAATTTACGTTGGAAAAAGGGACAATATAATGAAACAAACACATTATTGTTGGATGATTCTCCGTATAAGGCATTACTCAATCCAGTATGATTCGTACCTTGCATATTTCTCATGTGTCTGTTTTACCTTTCTTCAGCCTGTTATGTCCTAACTGTCTGTTTGTTTTTAAATTTCCCTGTAGTTGCACACCGCAATATTCCCCAATTCATACAGTTACATGGATAAGAGTGACAATTCCTTAGGTAAGGTTGTTGTATTTTGTTATATATTTGTTTGTTGTTTTCGTGGTAATCTTTGCCAAACAATGCCTTCACATAAAAATACATACTTATCTTGGGTAAATCTTAATCATAAGCATTTCGCTAGCGGTGCCTATGTAATTCCAAGTACCTGGGAAGAATAGTTGACAGTATAATTTATCATTTACCTCAGATTAAAGGGGTTACAATCTTGATATTTCATCAACTTGCACTCCTTTGGAGCTGAAAAGTGGATACATATTTGAAATTTTGCAATCAAGAATAGTTATTTACAATTAAATTCATGCGCATACTGCTTTTTGTAGAAAATTTACTCAAGTCTAGCATTTAACTTGTATTTGTAAATGATGAAAAGCTGATTACTTGACTAGTAAATCTTGAATTTTGTTGCAGGCCCAGGAGGCGATCTTCGGGTCTATTTGGAAGGATTGTTGGCATGTGAAAATGTGCAGAAATATGTCGAGCAACATCCTTTTGGTCAAAGTGCTATAAACGAAACTAGTTCGTCTTGGGGATTCTATTCACAGGTGGTTCTCCAGACAAAGTCAATCGAGGTGGAAAATAGCGCTCCCAGTTTTTTGCCTTCTTTGCCGATTTTGAGTTAGTAATTTTCAGTGTTCCGTGAGCTCGTCAAGCCTCATGCATTTTCTTTTACTGATTCTTTTTGGTTCTCTTAGGAATTCTTTTAATGGATCTAGTATACACAGTTCAGAAAGTTCGAGTTGGTGGTTCTCTTAATCTAATGATAGAATTAAACAGTTCCATTATTTAGGATCAGCGAATACTTTTGGACACTTACGCAAGAAGAATAGATTTTTTCGACTCTTTTTCGATTATTATCTGCAATGATAGTTGTGCTTTATGTTAACACAAATTTGGAAAACCTCGTTGAGCATGGTGCGGATGAAGTGCGGATGAAATGTTGGAATTCCCTCATTTGTTTGTTTACAGTTGGGATATCCAAATGATAGTTCGTTATGTTGTGTTTATCTTTCTTAGATTTTTATATGAAGTTTGTCTTGAGATTTTGATGAATTTATCAAATTGATTTCTCCAAAATAGTGTATCCTTCAATTTTCAGTAGTTGATTGTGGGTAGAAAAACAGTTAACTTCCCCCCACATTGTAATTGTATTCAATTCTGCAATGCATCATTGGTTTTGGAGTAATAAGATATGGAGAGCAAAGGAAAGTTATGATTGCACTTTTTTCTTACTGAGTTTATGGAAATACTCTCAGCTGGACGAGGAAGAAATAAACCTATTGCCATCAATCATCAGACCGTTGGATTTAAATGTTATACTCTTCCATCCAATAGATTTAAAATGTTATATAGTCTAACAAGATACTCTTTCAATAGATTTAAATGTTATACTCTTTCAATAGATTTAAAATGTTACTTATCGAGCTCAATAAGATACTCTTTCAATAGATATAAATGTTATACGCTAAGCTATAATATAAATCAAAGCATAACATTTTATAGTGTAAGTACTATGTGTTTTTTTTGTAAGTCCAACCGTTTAACAGTTAATCAGCCTAACAACGATATTTATGTTCACCTAGACACGCAAGAATTGAACTCATGATACATTTTATTATTATTATTATTATTATTATTATTATTATTATTATTATTATAAAGAATTGAACTCATGATACATTTTATTATTATTATTATTNTAGAATCTTGCCTAATGCGTATACCTTCCAAGGCCCTAACTACTCATCTCAGCTTCTCAGTAAACAACAAAGAAAAAAAAGAAAAGTTAGATGTTCGTTTTCACCAACAAGATTGCAATAGGCGGTAATTGCAAATTTATTAATTAAGACCTGAAGAATAAAGGTGATAGTCGACGAATTGTGTGTTTGCGTTAATACACTTGCACTTTTATTCTTGTTGTTGATAAACAGGTCGGATGATTTTTCAGATGCTTTTGTTTTGATGAGATTTTTTCCTTGTATTTTTGTTGCCCTTGAATGTACAAAATATTCGCTATTAATTATACGCGATAAAAAGTGAGAAATCATTATGACTTCTTCATAAGTCATCAGACTGAGAAGAGATAGTTAACGGTTTAATGGTCGGTGTCGATGGTCTTTGGACGTGTTATTATGCCGATGTAGTGTTGTCTTTGATGAGCTTAATAATGTTTACGGGCTAAAATCAGATCGACAAAAAGTGTACATAACAAAAAATAAATAGAAAAATAAAAAGAAAAGTTGCTTGAGGAAAAATGCAAAGCTAATAAATGGTGCCCCACCCAGGACTAAATGCACCAAAATAGTACAAGAGCCACAGAGAACCATTTGATTGCAATGTGACATTTAACATCGTTTGGACAGTGGTGAAAAGTATGGAGATTAGGTTTGTACCTTCTTTTCCTTTTTCCCCATGGCGCCATTATTGTTAAGATTGAAATGGAATGGCAAAAATGGGGAACATGTCTGAAATAGTAGCAAAATAAGTGAGATATCATACACAACTCCACAAGTTAGGCCCAAGATAAGACTCTGAGGAAATACAGCCAAATAAGATGTAATAATTTGTCCCCACATGGCACAAGGGATATGGATAACCCCACATTATGAAAAAGACTATTTTCACTTACAAATTTCTAATCATGAAAAGGAAAAGAAATATCTCAACATTTGATGATTAGGTTTAGGCTGTCTAAGGTATATATTAAGTCATGCTTAGTGCAGTATGCATGTAGCATTTTTTCAGACAAAAAGATTGTTGTTAGGCATATCTAACAGTTAGACAACTATATTTTTTCAACAGATATTCATACTTCAAACTACAATGTTCATACTCTAAAACATACTATAAATAAAAGTATGACATTTTATATTAGAAGTATGA